AGGTTATGGTTACACAATCACACAATTATCACAAGGGGAGATGAGAGAGTGGAAAAGAACGTGCAGTAAAAAAAGGGATAATTATGACAAATTAAAATAAAATAAAAATTATAAAAATTAATTAATTACATTACTGTCCTTATTAATTTATTTATATTTAATATAAATTAATTTATTAATTAAAAAAGTTTGAGGTTATTAGATTGTTCTCGCGTTTTCGTAAATCACAGGGGTTCTCGTTTGAACCTCCACCTATATATATATATATATATATATCAAATATATGCTGGGTATCCTATCATAAAAACCAATAACCAATTAACTTGTAGGTAAGTAAACTTCGATTTTCAAGACCCATTTTTTCAATCGTTCAGATATCCCTCCCCTTCACGCTTATTACTAATATTTTGAAGATGGTCAACAAAAGCACCAGTGGTCTAGTGGTAGAATAGTACCCTGCCACGGTACAGACCCGGGTTCGATTCCCGGCTGGTGCATTTCTCTTTTTACCATTTTGCCCCTTTCTTTCTTTATTATGTTTTTCTTTCTATAATTAAACAAACTATATACTATTTTTGCTTAAATTTGATCAAATTACTTAACATATTCAGCCAATTTAATTGATTAATTTGAGTAGCCACCCAATCTTCATGTGTAAATCAATTTAACACAAACATGTAACTTAATCGTCGACTTATCACGAACCGATTTATAAATTTAAAAGAGAAAGAAAGATTCCAATTGTTGCTACACAGAAATCAAAACTAAAATGGACTTCTTCTCCACTCCAGTGGTTATTTTCATTTCAAAATGCATATGTTCAGGATCTACTTAACTTATTACAACCAAGATTACATAGGAAGCTGGGTTTTGTTTGATAACCCTTTTGCTTGCTGACAAATGAAGGAAACTACAAAACACCAAATAAGTTTCACACAAATTGCACCTAATCAAATCATGTATATCAGTAACATCAAATAATAACATATGGTTTTTTGAGTTGAAAAGATTGAGCACATAAGACGTGGGATATCATATCTTATGTGGGTGATTCCATCCTTTCTGCTACGATTCATCGTTTCCAATCTCCGCATCAGTAAATGCAAGGGCCTTTTGTAACTTTCTTGGAGAGAACACTTCAACCTCTATCATGTATGATGCAGAAACAGGCCTATGATCGGAGAGTCTAAGCTCAGCCCTTCTGTAGCTCAGCTGCCTCATCCCCTTCCCAAGTGAAAGTATGCGGTCACACCTTAACAAAACCATAATTTATAAGAATAATATAATATTATGTTCCTAAACTAAGGCTCATTGAACACTCAAACCACGAGACCATACCATGCTGGAGTTCGCCTCCCAACTTTAGGATCCTCGCCATAGTATTTATCTGAATTTGGCTCGTATTTGTAAGTTGGTGGAAAATTCAAAGTGCCTTCTGTCCACCCGTCAAATGCACACCCTTTTCTTAGCTGCAGGGAAAATTGAGATGTACTTATTAGCTTAAAAGTATGTGTTACAATACATATTTGCTTTTTGAACTTCTGAAGCAATTGCTTGAACCAGTATTAAATACAGTGGCCATTTTCTGGTTTGAATACAAGGTATGAGCAGTAGTACCAACTTACCTGATCACTCTCTAACAACTTGGACCAGTCATTTTTGGAAATCAAATCACATGTTGCCTCATATGACAAATTGATACGGTAATTCAGATCACCCAACCAGATTATTCGCCTGAAACACACAAACCCAATTGGCAAGATGACCCTTAAAGTACAAAGGAAAACATAATTTTGACGTAACCAAACATTAGTATACCATCAATCTTGGTGCAACTTAGATTTTAAAAAGTTTTCCGTAATGTCTATTCCCCTTCCAATATAGAATCCTTTGTGTTTTTTTTGGTTAACCTGGATATCCAACCCGCTATGCGAGCCGACTAATCCCAAGGCGACCACCTGCTTTGCAGATAGCCCGGAGTCACCGCATTTGAACCTCCGTGGCTACAAGGGGATTTTTATTCCTCCTTGGATTTGAACCTGGGACCTCCTGGTACTTTTGACCTTTGGAGTCAACCTCAAACCAATCAGGCACCACCCTAGTGGTTGAATCCTTTGTGTTTTTGTATTTATGATTCTGGTCCATGTGCTATGATTGTGTTTCTGTGATTTGATTTTGCAACAAACATTACTTGAGTATTATGGTCCAAGTATGTACAATAAAGTACCAGGAGGATCAAATGAGAAAGGCAAAAAGGTTGAGAACATGAGAAGGAATGGTTCATATGTGAATTATTGGTAAATCCATTTTGAAGATTGCATATATGAACTCATGTTTGCTTACCAACCAATAATTCTTTAGAAGATGCATATGTGAAAGAAAAAGATCATTTACCAATAATTCACATATGAATCATTCCTTCTCACATTGTCAAGCTTTTTGTCTGTCTCATTTGCACCCTCCCCATTAAAGTATATGATTCAAAAAATAAAGTTAAGTTTTTTTGTCTGCTATTCACTTACCATATGCTGTGACTGAATTTTGGTAAGAATTTGACTATTTTTAAAGGTCTTTTGTAATGTTGTTCACACTTTTGTCTTGTGGGCATGTGAAGTAGTGTATCTGCTTAACTTTTGGATGATCCATATAAAAATTAAGAGACAAAATAATGGTAAAGCTAGAAGAGAGAGATTTCATCAGATATAACAGAGAAATTTAAGAATAGAACTGGAAACTAGGGGAATAAGATATTTTATTCTTACTCATGGTCCCTAATGCTCCTCGGACATGCAGCTTTTGACATTGAACTAAAACATGTCCTTCTATGAATTTCATTCACATCAGTGTTCCTCTTAACTGCATCAACATCCCTTTCACCAGATGTTAGGTGCGTGCATATGAAACAGAAGTGTGTCTGATATATGGACATGCTGACTGATATGGACCCCTTGAAAGAGAAAAACAAATCAACATACATGAGATGCAACAAGTGGTTATATCACGTAAGATATACATGCATGCATAACACAAACATATATATAAACATAAAGGCATCTTATGCTGTAAATACAACTTCTTTATAAAATCCAGTAACGGGTCCTTTGTTATAAGTACCTTCTTGTAACTTACACAACTGAAAGACAGACAAATATCCAGCTTAGGAACTCATAAACAATGTAAACAAGTGGCAAGTTGAGGAGGCTTCCAACAATTCAATGAGAATATTTGACGATATCCAAGTTTTTTGCAAAGGAATTATGGATGTTCCTGTGTCTATAACTCTATATAGATAGATATTCAACTGCTTCAAAGGGTGGGGAAAATTAATACTACATCTCCAAAAACAAGCAGAAACCAACCTTGTTACCAATGTAGCCCATTACACCAACGCCAACAGTTGACACATGCACATTCTGGATGTGCTTCCTCAAGCTTCTACGAACCCATATGGTAAGAAAAACACCAACCATTTGCTTGCTCACTATTCTTACATATTCTGATCTTCTTTTCCGGTGCATAATAGAGTCAAGATCAAGTTTTGCAAGCCAATGGTCCTCTGGTATGACTCTGTTGCCACCGTTCAAATATGACTCTAAAGGACGATGGTTTTTAAAAGACTTGGAAGCTTTGAATGATTTAACAAATTTAAAAGAATTCGGTATTTCTGATATACAATGAGCCGCCAGATCTGATGGTATTTCGGTCCCTCCGAGTAGTTTCGTTGATTTTCTACTGTTCAAAGAGGCTGATTCTTCTACTTTTTCTTCAGAATCTATTGATATAGAACCATTTTGGCCTACTGGACCATCCTCAAGTTGGCCAAAATTTGACTCTTCATTGAATGTGTAGATTTCCTCCTCATCCTCGCAATCACTTTCTAGCTCTACATCTTCCATATATGGAACATCATCAGATGGTTTAAACCTTGATGGAGAAGGAGGGTCACTGTAGCATTTGAATTTAGTCTTTACGGGTTGAGCTTTATTGAGGGTTTCACGAATGATATTTTCCCATATTGGAATTGGACGATTATCTTCAGCACCAAAAATATTGCCAGCATTTAAAGGTATGATCTCTTGAAAACTGCAAGGAAAACATCCGCAATTATCATTTGCTCTTTTTCCAGATACAACCAAAAAATTATGTCTTTAAGAGTAAAGGTCAGACACAGAATCATGCATATTTGTATCTAAATGTGCATGATTGCAAGCATGTCTGCTTTTATGTAAAAAATAAAATAAAAAACAACTTTAAACTAAATCATAACATCAAATTTAACGAATTTAATTTTGAAAAAAACTGAAAATTAAAAAATAATGTCCAGATTTGTCTATTCATTCCATAAAAGGGCAATCCTAGCACACCAAGGCTCCTTGGTGCCCCCAGGTTCCAGAGGGATGTGTTTGTAAGCAGTCTCTCAATTGCATTTAGATGCATCCTATCCATTCCACAAGACAAAACAGAATTTCCTCTTAACCTGTTTGACAAACAGGATACATATTTCCAAATTACATTACAAGATGACATGATCTTCTAATTTACAATTACTACTACTCCATCATTGCCTACCGTTGTCATGCTATCAGCCTGTCACTACTATTTAGTGGTTACTAGGTATATGGTTGGAAACATTACTGCTTAGAAGTTCTATGGAGTTGTTTTAGAACTTATATCCTTGTGGAACTCGGAAGTAAATACTTGCCCAATCACATATATATCTGCAGGGTGGTCAGTATCGAGCCAGTCTCTGATATCCAAGTCTTCTGGCGGAAGTTCTCCTCCAACATTCCAAGTATCAACAGATACTCTAGCACATTAAAAAGAAAGTAAAAGTTTTAACGTGTCAGTAACATAATTACATCAGTGATCTGATGATAACAGAAGCCAAATCGTGTGACTCAGTGCATGATTCGTGAATTGCGTATGGAGGAAAAGCCCACACACCTGAGTTCCTTTGCATCAATATATTGTTCTCTAAATATCTCTGATTTCCGTCTTCTTGACCTGGGAACAGCTCCTGATGTCAAAAAGAAGCAGCACAGACCACAAAATTTGAATCAATTGATCAATTAGTTCTAAAGTTCTCTTTGTAAACTCAACCTCTTTTTCGTTTACAAAAGAAACTTCAGTTGCAAGACAATCTGAAAACTGTTAGCATTGAGGTATATCTAATTCCATAAGCTGAAAAAACAATCAACTATTATAAGCGGGACGAAAATAAAAGATGGTTTGAACCTAAAAAGTATGCATTCATATGGTGGCAACAAAGAGATTCCAAAGTCGAGTGCATATCCATCATGGACTGGATATTACTTGTGCTATAATTTAAAAGGGTGTAGGTCTTTTTGGCTTCTTATTTCAGTTCCTTATGAAAATCCTACTTATCCTCCTCCTTATCCACATAATAACACATGACAGCATCCACTGAAAAAGAGATGATGAGAGAGAAATTTGGCTATTGCAGAGTAAGAAAGTTAAGGAGAAAGCAATAATGAAAAGTCAACAAATTGAACATCAGTAAGAAAGTTAAGGAGAAAGCAATAATGAAAAGTCAACAAATTGAACATCATAAAAGTAAACAGTAAGAAAAGTAGAAAACATGTAGTTAATGGCAGGTGCAAAGAGCAAAATAGTATCTATTTTACCATCAGGATCACTCTGAAACTCATCTCCTTTCTTATTCTTGAGTCGGGATTCTTTTGGCCAATCATGGAAGGCTTCTGTAAAACAAGATTCACATACATATCAAACCCTAAGCAAATCTTCAATTAGTGATAGTAGCACACTGACAGTAGTATCAAAAGCTACAGCAATAGGAATTACCATCGGAATCATAGATGCCATCATCAGAATCGGCACTATAATCTGAACTCTTAGTAGAAATATTTAACCATTTACGGGTAACAATCCTCGGCCAGAACAACTCTAGGCAGGTGCAACCCAAACATTTTTCTACCCAACTCCTCTGCAGTTCTTCTCAAGTTACCCAAAAATCGAAATCATAACTATACAAACAGAAAGGCACACATATATATACATATTATCTACAACCATCACAGGTTAATTTCCCAAAATCCATGAAACATCTCTAAAACCTGCTATCTAAACATAGAGCAGATAGCGAGTTTCTGTTTGGATGAAAATGATTGCTTGATACGGTGCTGGTTGTGGATCAAAGATATATGTACCTCAGGAGATCGATTCCTTGAGCGTTGACGATGATGATGGATCATGTTTGGATTTGAAGAAACTCCAATTGGGTAAAAGAATTTGTGAAAAATGGGAGATTTAGATATATATTTTGCCACAAAGAAATGGTTATTGAAGCAGGACATGTAACCAACTCACTGTTACTCTTGAAGGTTTTTGATTTTAGGCAGAGGTCAAACGTAATTGATTTTGATTTTTAATTTGGGAAACAATGAGGTGTCATGTATAATTTCAATCGTTAGGGATGTTTGGAATTGATTGATCCAAACAACTTATTCTTTCCTACAAAAGTACTTATCAACTTATTATAAATTAGAAGGGTTTAATTTTTTTCAAAAACTTCTTATTACCGGTTTGTCACCGGTATAAGTTATTTATCCAAATACTCGAAAGTGTTTATTACCGGTGTCACACCGAAATAAATCAATAAATTATTTTTATAAATAATCTTAAACACCCTCTTTAATTATTGTTTCCCAGGGTTACTCAACAATTGTTAGCAATGATTGTTTATTGTTATAGATAAAAAATGAAAAAAAAATACTATTTCAACAAACCACATGCATGAAAAAGGTACTAAAAATATGTTTATGACATTAGTAGGAAAAACAAGAGGATATTTAGCAATTACTGAATGGTTTGATGTAAAATGATTAAGTGGTCAGAATAATTAAGAGGCTTTCATGATATAATGCAAAATGAAATATAATTGTTTGGTAATTATTTACAACGAAATTAGGGTTCTGAATGGTTAAGGGAGGCCCAAGATATAAAATCATTCATAATGTTTTAGAACCATTAAGAGACAGACCTCATTTTTTGCCAAACAAGATTCACCTCTTAACGATTCAGAAGTTATCTCTTAATAGAACTATTAAGAGGTAAACAAACAACCCTTAAACTTATTTTAGATTGGTTCTTATTTAAGGAAAACAATTTTCAATTTTTTTATTTTATTTTAGATCATAATGCAAACTTTTCAAATATTTAAGGTCTCCACTTGTTTTGTAAGTAATTAATTCTGTTGGTCCATATATTCTACCTCATATGACAAACATCATATGTAACACCCTTAAATTTGGAATTAATTTAAAATTTCCAATAATACATCAATTAAATGATAAATCCGTTGTCACAAATCAATACTTGATTACCTAAAATCAGAAATCTAGATTTAACGTAACGAATGATAAACCAAGTTTTACCATAAAGTCTGGGTTAAGGTCGAGTGCTACTAAAACACAATAAAGTCGTTATCTCAAAATGCTGAAGATGTCTCCAACTTACTAATTAGCACTCAATTCATTATAGTGTCACTAGTACCATTCACCAACGAGGACCTGATACACATACCGACAAATAAAAAGGGATAGGTTTAACGCCTAGTGAGTTCAAATAGTTTTTATCATAAATATGAAGACGATAAAACTGAAAGATGTTACTTAAATCACAATTTCCAACATGAAATGTATTTCATACAAAAGCAACATATTTTCCAAACCAACTATTTTTATGACAAAAACTTATTTATCAAAATGTCCCTTTATTCGTGAAATTAAAGCCCAATACTCACTCAAAAGTGAATGAGATTAAATGCCCAAAAACATAAACGAAGTTTAATGCCCAAAACTTAAATAATCGAAATTACTCCATATCCAACACGTCACTGAAAACAGATAGCTCCTATTTATTTTTGTTTCTAATTGGTCAGGCGCCCTTTTACCTAGGAATTTCTGGTACTTTCAACTTCATGATAGGTCCTGGAGACTTTTTGGGCCTAACTTGTATCCATGCGCTTCATATTCGCCCGGAGTTCGCTCCAGGTATGATCCCCCCAGAACAATGTTTTCTTTCAGGTCTTTCAACCTAGTTTTGGTGTAGCAGCTATATTTAATTTAGGATCCAATTCGAGATTTTCCTTGAGAGGTATCGGGTTTTCTGTTGAGGTCTATCTTGTAGAGGTATCCAAATTGGAAGCAAATTGTTGATAAAACTCCAAAATAGCCGTAACTATAACGGTCCTAAGGTAGCGAAATTCCTTGTCGGGTAAGTTCCGACTGGATAAAGTTCAATACCCAAAACAACACCTTTCGGCAATAGAGGAGACTCGATTATCTTGGTCAGTGGCAAAAGTAAAAGTAGGCCACTATTCCAAGTTATAGAGCTCATCCTGAGGATCAATGACCCCAACAAGATCAATTATTCGCCATTCATAGTTATATGGTCCCAAGTAGTGATGGCCAAACCGACCCGGCCCGGCCCGTAACCGCCGGAGGACCGGAACCGGGACCAGCATGGACCGGTTGAGGGACTGCCGGTTATGATCCGATTAAGAAATTCGTCGTTTTTTGGGACCGAGACTGACCGGAACCGGGACCGGTTATGGGCCCGGCCCGGCCCGGTCAACGAAAGTCAAAGTAGCGATTAGAAGTCAAACTAGCTGTTGGGGTTGAAAAATGAACGTTTTTTTTTTCATGTCTTCTCTTTTTCAATTGACTATAAATATGCATGGGAGTCCCAAGTAAACATACCAACTCATCTCATCTTCAAAAACATAAAAAACGCTCTCAATTCTCGGTTTCTCGCTATATTTTGTGAATTCGCTACGTATTAATTTCTCGTTTCCACTTCACAATTCTCGTTTCTTTCTCTCTTTGTATTACAAAATGGCCGGTGAAAAAACATCAAACGAACAAGTTGCCCAAGTTCTCGCCGAACACGGACGAAAGTCCGAGATTTGGAATCACTACAACTTGGTGGTTCTCACGACAGGAAAAAGAAAGACACAATAATTGTGTCAAACTCTCCTTACGGCGGAAGGAAATTCTACGTTAAGGAGGCACACCGAAAAAACGTGCCCGAGGTTAAGGTCGGGGGCGATTCAAGCCAATCGATACTTGACACCCAAGGTCAAATATGGTCGTATGATGCTGAGTTGAACCGACAAATGACAACACAATGTGTCATTCAAGTCGGGTTGCCTTTCGGACATTTCGACAACCCTCACGTTGCTAAGTTGATTCAAAAGACGCTACAACCACGATACAAGCCGGTAAGTCGTCAAACCCTTAGACGTGATGCAATAAAAATGTGAAAAATGTGTCGGGCCGAAATGCAACAAATGTTTTCCGCTTTGCCTAACAATATTCTTTAACGTGTGATGTATGGAGTGCACCATACGGATTCCCGGTTTCGTATATATTCATAACGACACATTGGGTTGAGCCTACAACATGGCATTTATTCAAACGTGTAATCGCGTTTAAACCGTTTGGTGCGCCACATTCGGGAGCACGCCAATTTTCAATTATTAAAAATGTCTTGCATTTTATAATTTAACCACTAAAATAATTAGTATTTCATTTATAATGCTAATAATAACAATTCTTGTGTGTAAAAATTAAAGTGTCATTTGACACCTATTTTAGACGGTAAATTATTTCATACATGTTGTTGTGCACACATAATAAATTTAGTCGTTCAAGACGATTTAAATACTTGTGAACCCGTAATAGATAAGTTTAGACTTATGTTGCAACGAATTTTCACAAAAGGTAAAAAAATGAATGCGGCCTATAGAAAGTATTGCGAAGACGTTGGTTTTAGAGCTTTAGGACCGAGGTTCGATATGTCCGTTCGTTGGAATTCGACTTATTTTAATATTGAAAATTTGTTAAAACAAAAAAAAAAATATTTTTGCTTTTTATAGACACCATTACCCGCAAAATTCTATTGGAAATATTTATTGGGCCGTGCTTGAAGGATTATACGATATTTTATGCGATTTTAAAAATGCGACAACACTTTTATTGAGAATTTATTATCAAACAAGCCCTTTTAGTTTTAAACCAAATATATATTTTGGTAAATAAAATTGCCCAATACGAAAACCATCACGATTGGGGAAGGTTGATGTCTTGCATGAAAAAAAAATTATTAAAATATATTATGGGCATACCATTTGTTTTTATTTGTGATGCAACGTTAAACCGTATTTAAATATTGTCGGTGTTGAACTTTTTAATTACACAAATATGTATGACTTTTGGTTTGGATACCGCTACAGAGAATTTTTTTTTTCAATGGAACAAAAACGTTTGTTTAATCGTAATTTTCAAGATTTATTTGATTATTACAAACATTTTTACGGAGGAGGAAACCAACCACAAACACCTTCAAGTCGTGGTTTTGCGGGTTCTAGTTCTTATTCTAGTGGTCATCGACAAAGTCGTAAAGAGTTGATGACTAATTTAATGAACTAGGTTTTAAATGAATCAAGTAAAAAAATCGATATGATAATGACATGGGTGAACTAAATATGTATGTGCATACTAACTTTATGGCCGCATGTCCCGCAAATGATGTCGAAGATTTTGAAAAAAATCGATTTAATAGATTTTTGGAAACAAAAACAACTTCAATTCCCGATTTTGGCCTGCATCGCAAGTGATGTACTAACAATCCAAGCTAGTATCGTAGCTTCGGAGTTTGTTTTTTCTCTTAGTGGCAGGATCATTTCGATACGTCGGACAAGACTAAGCCCGGAGTCTATGGAGTGTTGCATCTGCTTGAAGGATTATTTGGATAGCGTTGATAGGATTCAACACAGGACATCGTTAGAGATGGAGATTGAAGCGGTGGAAGAAAATCTGGAAGAAAATGAAATCTCCATGGGACTAAGCACGCCACCAACTACCGATACCGAGGGCACTTACTCACAATATGACGATGATGAGGAACTCGACATTGATGACCTTGAAGGCCAAGAGACTATTAGAAGAATTCAAGAAACCGGAACTCTTCAAGTCAATCCGACATGGGATACCGATGAAAATTGATGAATAAATGTATTTTCAAATAATTTTCCATATAAATTCTTGTAAAACAATGTAAATTTAATCATAATAAAACGTATTTTTAAAGTGTTTTTGAGTGATCCGTATTTTTAAAGTGTGTTTTTAAACGTATTTATAAACACGTGTGTGTGTGTGTGTGTATATATATATATATATATATATATAACAAAACATATTAAAAATAACATATTGAAAATATATTAATAACAAAAAGTTAAAAAAAAAACCAAAAAAAAACATTTTTTAATGGGCCCGGTATGG